TCAGTGAGTCCATTTCACGGTGATGCAGAGCTCTGTTTACCTTGTGAGTCCATACTCAAGGTCACAGAATCACAGAATGGCTGGGGTTGGAAGTGACCTGTAGAGATCACCTAGTCCAACCCCCTGCTCCACAACCTCCCTGGGCAGCTTGTTTCGGGGCTCTGTCACCTCACAGTGAAGAAGTTCTTCCTCACATGGAGATAGAACTGCCTGTATTTCAGTTTGTACCCATTGCCACTTGTCTTGTCATTGGCCACCATGGAGAAGAGTTTGGCCCCCTCCTCCCTACATTCTCCCCTCAGATACTTATAGATACTGATCAGATGCAAGATTCAAGTCTGTCCAAAGCCCAGAAAGGAATTGATGGTCACATTTTAGCCCGGATCAGAGGAAACATCAAGGGTGTTTCTGCAACAGATACACAGGATCTCGAGATCCTGTATCTCAAGAGATGAGTTGAGGGAACCAAAACACTGACTTCTACTTGCATTATGTAGCTGAGGGCATGTATTTGCTTTAGTCACTTTCTTTTCTTTTTGGCTGAACACGCCACAGAGGTCACATCATCTCTGTGGTCCTATGGCAACCCTTCCCAGAAGAAGGGTTTAACATCTTTTGTTTTCTCCCCTCTTTCTAGAGGGAAGCTCTCGCAAATGTGGATTGTTCCTCTGCATTTTTTTTTTGCTAAGTAAGTGGTGATAGGTGAAAATATTATAGTATATTCAAAAAAATGAAAGCTCTCATTTTCTTCAGTGCTCAGTAAACTGAACACAGATCTAAAGTTTTCCAGTCCAGTGCAGAGAGCAGACTATGGACCTATAAATGTCTATATACGTAATGGATGTCTAAACCCCTAGAATAGTAGGTAGAAGTTCAGCTTAAGGTCTCTACGAAGTGATACATCTACCCCAAAACAAGAAAATTTAGTTGGACAAAATCAGTCAGTTAGGCGAGATGAATTGCACCAATGTGCCATTCCCCATTAAGCTACAAGTACCACAGACCTGGAGATTTTCCTTTTCTGTACTGCTCAGGGTGAGAGCTGTGAACATCACAGTGCCAGCATACTGTGTGAGGGATCTTGGGATCCCTCCGAGTGGGTGGGAAGCAATGGAATAAAATCCATTAGAGGGTTGTGCTGATGCCAATGTGAATGTAGTGCTAGTGAAAAGGAAGCAGAAATTGTGCTTTTGTAGACAGAGAAAAGATAGATATTCCTATTAGAAAATGGTGACAGACACCAGTGAAAAGCAACAGTGTTTTGCTGAGTCCCTCAAAGAGAAACTGAAGCTCTGCACCTTGTCATGGATGTAATTTCACTGGAGATATGAGAAAGCTATTTGGTAAGAGGTGACAGGAACCTGCAAGAATCTGTCATCACTGGTGGGGATGGAACAAAGTACCAGTTCTGGTAATAGTGTCAGCCACTGGACTGACTCTGAATCCAACTGATTTGATGCATTCTGCAATACAGATCTCAGTTACGGCCAGATTCTCTTGCAAGCATTTGCAATGACAAGTATGCGTCCTTGCAAAGAAGAGAGTAACTACTGGGTCTGTTTCTCCCCTATGCAAACAAAAATTGCTTTCACTTAACCACGACCAAGCAAGAGCCATTTAGCAAACAAACAAGATCACTCTGCTCTTAGGTGGGAAGGAATGCATTTATTACTGGACTGTGTTCTCCAAGTGGAGTAATCTTGCAGAAGGATGCAGGACTCTTTCTTCGGGGGATTTATTTTAAGTGCTCACTGCCTGAAACTTTACAAATATTCTTGCTTTTTAAAAGCATTCTAAGTCTTAGGAATAAGACTTCCTAATGACTTGGAAAACAGAGAGATGATAAGCAGTCATCAAATGACACTGTGATCAGGGAGAAAGTGTTTTAAGACTTCTTCTAAAAAGGGTACAGATTGTTACTGGAAGCCTCTTGCAATAAACTGCTGATTGCTGCTGTGCTGAAGGTCAAGGCTGTCCTACTGCTCCTCAGTAATTTTTTTCTAGGTGCTTTGAAATCTTTATGGTAGGAAGGATCAGCTTGAAAATGCCTGTGTTATCAGTGGATGAGGAAGAAAGTGAGTGCAAAACTCTCTGGCCCAAGATTGAACATACTCAGTGAGACCTGGATCTGAAACGAAGCTGGAAAGGGCAATTCTTTATTCTGGCACTTGAAATGTGGCATGTTCCATTCCTACTGCTGCAACAGAACTGGATCCATGGCTGAACTTCTCCTTTACTATTCAAGGAAATGTAGACAAGACTTGGCTATCTGTCTTCCCTCAACTGGTCCCAGTAATTCTCCCAGATAGTTTGTTCTTGTGAAGAGATAATGAAGGAAATAAAGCATGATGATTTCTTCTAACACTGGTTAAGAATGGAGTGACCTACTAGGTTGAAACATCATGAAGGATATCACGTCTTGTATCCAAGAGCCCAGAAAACTATGATAGCTTTTTTGAGATTTGAAAGTTTCTATATCTGCTCTGCTGGTTTATTATTGCAAAGTCTGAAGCTGGGATACTGTGAGCTGATTCTTCACCTTGCATTTGATTTTCAAATCTTTGCATTTGTTTTCTTCTCAGCTCTTTGAATGTTTTAAGGATCTATGTATGGTCCTGAAATAATGTAGTATCTGTTCTCTGATGGTATTTCAGTTTCTGGTTGATGGAAATGCCATGAAAAAAACACATCTCAAATTAGTCTTGTAAATGGCTCATTGAGACATACAGAAAGCCTGTAAAGCCAGAAACACAAACAATAAGACCACTATTTTTAAGCACTGCCATTGCAGGATATTAGGATTTATTTGAGTTCCCATGGAATCATTTTGCATTGCCCAGGCAACCTGTTGGCAGCTTACTAAAGCTGCTCTGTGGTTGTTCTTAAAATTAGTTGAAACAAACATACATATATTGGGGCATCCTGAAACAAGGTAAGACTAGAAACAGGCAAGGATAAGAAAAGTGGTGCTGGAAAAACCTTCCAGACTGACACAAAGTTAATAATTCTCCCCTATTTCTACAGCCTATCCTACTAAAATTCTTGACAAGATATAAGCACTTATTTATTCTGATTCCCTGAAACCAGATATGCCTGGTTTTACCCCAACTTTTGCTACTTTCTCTGACAGAACTGAAAACTGTGCTACTTTTCTTTCAGAATGTCTCAAGCTTATGGAGGCCTAGAGGGAAACCTCTGGATATGAGCAAAGTTTTCTATGGGGAAAAAGACCTTTTACAACTTATACTTTTTTTGTATGTCATTCTCAGGAGCACTTCTATGGGCCAAGAGGGCTTAGCCAGAACTCTGCCAGGAGTGTGTTAGGGTAGAATTTATCATCAGGCAGTTCATCACATTTGAACCCAGACACTAAGAAGAAATCCCTTCTTGTCACCGCTGTCATGGCATCAGCAGAGAGGTTGTGTTTGCTCTTAACATGCTCTTTGCATGTTTTATCAGTTTCAATCTCAGTAAAAAGATTTGTGGAAGTTGGAGACATCCATATTATGATCTTGCATTTCTACCAGGAGTTAATAACAAATACTTTAGACTTACTCTGCCTGCCTGACCCTTGAATCTACCTTGAGTAGAAGGTGTTGAATGGTAGAGATGATAGGACAGGATGGACTAACTGGACTCAGAGATATGAAGCATTAGTCTCCGAAATGTTTCCTTCCTTCCCAATGCCTGACCTTTAATCATCAATGTGGGGTTTTTTTCCCATCAGAGGGGAAAAGTACGTATTCACCTTAGCATCTCACTGCAATATGTTTTTTTTTTTTTAATTAGGTCCACGTTCCCCTTTGAGGGGTGGACATTGATGCATAGGGAGATGACAGCCAAAGTCCAAGCCAGGTGGTAGGACACAGTTCCCCAAGATAAAGTGCAGATTAAATCACTCAAGTGATTTAGAGCAAGCTCACTGTGTGATTCAGCTAGTTCGTTGAGAGACGAAACAAACACTCAACAAAAGAAATTCAGACAGACCAAAATATTATTAGAGGTAATGTTTACCTTCAGAATGCAGCAAAAAAAGTTAAAAAAAAAAAGCCACAAAGTATCTAAAAATTTCAGTTGAGAATGTACAAAACAAAGTCATAATAAAAAGAAAATTGCTTTACAAAGTTCCAAAATTATTTTAAACAGTAAACATACGAAAGCATGGAAAATCTAAAATAAGGTTTTGCATATACTGGATAATAAATTACAATTCTGAAGTAAAGAAAGGAAAGCAATAACCATTCTGTTTCACCTACAGCATTTTTTCATTGCATCTTTCTTCAGGGGAATGGCAGTGATGATAGCTGTAAATCTTGACTCAAACAATTTTCAGTAGCATTGAGTACTCGCTCAGAACCAAACTCCACTAAATACCTCCCCTGCCCATCATGATAGCAATTTGAGATCATTACTTTTTTCTGTTTATTGTTTTTTTTTTTGTTGCTGTTGTTAATGGCTAAGAGAAAATCTCTCTAACCCACCCATCAATGTGAATATGTTGATATACATATATGTGTGTTTAGGATGCCCTTTCTGGGAAGTCTGTCCAAAACCAGAAAAAGAAGAAAGCATAAGGATGTTTTTTTCTCAATGACCTGATTGTCTGATTCTTTACTTGGTTCTGTCTCTCCTTTCTCCTCCCCTGGTTCAGAGAAGCCTGGTACAATCCTCTCCTCCGAAAAAATCTCTTTAGGAGGAGGAAGCTGCCCTAAGATGCCTGTGGATGGATTTTGTCTTGTGCTTCTAACAGTGTCAGAGCTCTGGGTTGTATTGCAGCACCAAGTCTGTTGGGTTGGCTGGGTGAGGGTTGCTGTTCACCTCCAGTGTCAAGGTAGATTCCATCTATCCTGTCCGTATGAAAACACTGAGATGATGACTTTGAGAATTCCTTAGAGTGTAGACAAGTCCTTTTGTGCAATTTGGATAAAACAGGAGATTTTTTTTTTGTTGTGGACTTTCTTTTTTGTTTTATACTATTGCTTCTTGCTCTTTGGGATCTCCTATTTCTTTGGCTTAGAGTTGCCAAAGGTGACAAAAACTACGCCCGGCTCCTGGAAATTGCCATTGGTGTGGAAGTCTTCACTTGGGCTCTTCAAGTACCTCCGAAATAGGGGTGATGTAGATACCTCATAAATGGGATGAGATGCCACATCACACATGGAGGACGTCTGAGTCTCAGATTGCTTCGTGACTGTAGTGGATGAGGTGATGATTTTATTTCCAAACTGATCCATTTCCTCATATTGCTCTGTGACTGTCCGAGTGGCTCCATAGAGCTTGGACCCATCAGGCCCCGTCTGCAGCTCCAAGATGCTTTTTTGCCTTCGTGGGTTCTGTGGGCTGGGGACATTCAGGGAGCAATAATCTGAAAAGCCTCCTTTGATCCCACAGTGGCAGCTGCCTTTGGAGGTGTCTGGAGGACTCCTCTCTTTCTCATTCATCTGATGATTGGCATTGGCAAGAGGAGACTGTTTCATGGAGTTCAGTCCAGCTTTTATTGGGATGGTCTCTGGTCTGTTCTCAAGGGAAGACAGGTCATGCCCAGCAGACCCTGCTGGTGGGTGGCTAAAGGAGCTAAATTTGTCCTGATCAAAGGCATCTCTCTTTCCTGTAGCACTGACACAATCTGGTGAAGGGATTGCCCATGGGGAATGTGCAGTCCTGGGTGATTCTGCAGGTTTCCTGGCAGCAGATTCAATGGAGATGTAGGAAGGTGAGGAGGGAGAACTGACACGAGGATGAATGAGGCGGGGGACCTCAAGCTCTGCTTTGGGTACTTGAGTCTTTTCTGCCACCTTTGCACAGCCCATGGGCACGGTGTCGCCTGTCTCCAGCATGTTGCTCTCCTGCTTGGCTTTGCTGGAGACGATGCTGATTTTGCGGATGTTGCTGCTACTCACAGGACTTTGGGCATTCCCTAGAGATTCCTTGAACAGCCCAGAGAGCCCAGCTATGTCTGACTCAGACTTGAGGCTAGAAACAGAATAAAGAGCTTTCCTGATGGCCTCCTCAATGTCCAGGAGCCGAGAGAGTGTCTGTTCCTTCAGGTAGACAATCTCAGCACTCACTCGCTCCAGGTCTCCAAAAACCAGTTCCACTGAGGAGATGCTGTCAGTGTCTTCCTTTGCTGCTGTCTCAGCCTTGGCCTGTTGCTTGGCCTGATGGGCCTTCTGGAGAACCACCCAGTCAGGGACCTTCTCAAAGAAACTCCTCAGAGCTTTCACATCCACTTTGCTTGTCTCTTCCTCAAACTCCTTCACTCGAGTCAAGATCTCTTGCAGCTCCTCCTGCCTCCTCAGATTCTCAAAGATCTCCATAGCCTCCTTGACATTGCCTTTCATGATCTCCTCTTTATGCACAGACAGCCTCTTCCTACGTTCATCTTCTGTTTCTTTCTTGTGTTTCTCTCTCATGATCACTGCTGTTTTCTCCTGGGCAGGCATCTCAGCCTCATTACGAGCTGTCAATTGCCCACTATTCTGCTGTTGCTCCTGAAAGAAGTTCATTGACTGCTGATGGGAGGACATTGAATGGTCCTCTTGTCTCCTCTCTATCACCTGCTGTGTAATTCTCTGACCATCACATGATCCATAGGCATTAGACACACTTTCCCTTTCCACTTTGAGTGAAGCATTTTGTGCAATGTCATTTCTCCTTCTGGGAGGAGTAGTGTGGCCCACAGAGGAGGTGCTTAGTTCAGCCTGCCCCAGTGCATTAGGTGTCCTTGCTCCACTGGGATAGGCTAACTGTGATACTGATGTGCATCCATCCTCTTGGCTACATAGCTGCATATGCCTCTGAGCTATCTTATCCGGGCAGCTCCTTGGAGCTGCTGCTTTCTCTCTCGTCATTCCATGTTCGGCTTCAAAACCAACCACTCCATTTTTAAGTGACCCTGAGGTCTTTGCAGTGTCTGATTCTACCTTGCTTTGTCCTCCTTTGTTTGTCTCATACCTTTCCTCTGCATTTTGAAGAGGGTTTTTGGCAATGTCTTTTGATGGCTGTCTCTCAGGCCTCACATCCTGAGCAGCAATAGCTTTGTGCACTGGTGACTCTGAAGTGCAACATTGTGCCTGAATTTCCCTATGACTTGGTTGTTCTTGCACTTCCATGCAGGACAATCCCAGCTCTGATTGTGAAGACTTTGGCTTGCTGGCCTCTTTCAGACATAGAGGCTTTGGAGGCAGGGGTGGAGGCGTGGCTTTGGTTGATTTGTCTTTGCTCTTGTTTAGAGGGGCAGAATGTGCCTCATATGAGAGATGCTCAGGTTTTGGAGGAGGAAGAGGTTTTTTTCTTGGTGGGGCAGTAATTTCTGGTTTTGGAGGAATTTTGGGCTTCTCTGCAGAACTTTGTTCACTGAGTTTGGAGGACAGAGGAGGGAGGGCAGGAAGAGGGGTCTGTAGTGCTGCAGAACATCCTGGGGCTTCATCTTGGCTCGTTGGTTGTAGAAGGGCACCTTCTGTTGTTGCTTTAGTTGAGGGTGGGCAATGCTCTGCTTTCATCACAGCAACTGAGGGAGGAGGAGGAAAGTCATTATCAGCCTGCGACCCTGAAGCCACTACAGCTGTCTGATCACTATTGACTTGAGTCTCATTTTTCTTTTTACATACAGAATAGGACTGCCCTGCATTTCTGTATATCATAGCGGCTTTAAAATCCCCTCTGGAGACATTAACGTTAGACTTTTCCAGCGACTGAAGCGTGGCCTTTAAATTACCTCGAACAATATCCTCCTTTTCTACCAGGCGCTGTTCTGTGGTGGCACTTTGCAGTGCTCTGATAGCTGTCTGCACATCCCCTCTGATAACAACATCTCGCTCTCTTTCTTCTTGCACTGATTGCTCTTTGTAATCAGACTCAAGAAAAGGGTTTACATAGGTTTTCACAGGCTTGACAGTATAAAGACCATCCTTAATTCTAACATCTGCACTAGGCACAACTTGATTTTCCTGGCTCAACAGCTGTCCTCCCTGTACTTCCTCAGAAGCACTGACCTTTTTTTGTGGTGCTATGGTCTTCATAGACACGCCTGTGTGGGTCTTGGATGCCTCCTGCCTTTTAGTGGTGGTGGTCCTGGAGGCAGTGATGGTGCTCTCCTGCTTGGTTGTAGAGTCTTGTTGGTGTGTTTTGGATTGAAGGGTCATTGTCCCCTGTGTGCTGGACGCCTGATGCCTGCAGGCCACATGGACTTCCCTGCTCCTCTGTAGCTTGCTCTGGACGTGGTGCTGAATGCTTTTTGCCTCTGCCGTTGCTAGCCTCAGGCTTTGCATTGCAGCCTGGAGATCACTCCCAAATGCTTTTTCTTCTTGCTGTGCTGACATCTGGCTGGTTTCTCCAGCCACCGAGCTCTGATGTTTCTCAGCTACTTTGCCCATCTGAACTGTCATTTTGGCCTGGGCTGTGCTTTGAGTCACAGTTTTGGGTTCTGTCATGCTGGAAGAGAAAGTGTCTTCTTTTGCTGCCATTTGTTGGTTCTTGCTGCCATTTGCAACCCTTTGAATTGATTTTGTAGTCACTTTAAGCCCCCCTGACATAATTTCTTCCTTTCCCCTCACTGTGGGCACGCTCAGGGGCTTTCCAAGACATTGCACAGTGGTGCTCCTCAAACCCTCTGCATGCACAGACTCTCTGTCTAATGCACCCTCTTTGCCCACGCTTCCACATGCAAATACTTTTTTTGCTCCCTCCATGGCCCCTGTCTCACCCTCTGCATTCACGTTCTCTGTTTGTTCATTCCCTTGTGAGATACATATTGTGGACCTCTGTACATCCCATGGGGCACTCTCAGCTGCCCTCTGCTGTGCTTGAGAGGAGATGAGGGACTGTATCTCTGACTCCTGCTGGAGGTTCTTCAGATACTCCAGATCCCCCTTCTCAATGCAGCTGGTGAAAAGCTGGACATTGCCTTTCTCATTGTCCTCTCGCTTGACTGTTGCTGTTGCTCTCTGCTCTTGAGAAGAAGCCAGAAGATTGCCTATTGTGGTCTTCACATCCCCCTTGACAACTTTTTGTTGCACCGAGTGGAAAAGGAGGGAGTAGAGAGTCATCTTCACAGAGCCCATCTTTGTCTCTTGTAAGACCATCCCTTTTTTGATGGAGGCCTCTTGAGTGAGGAGGCCCTGCAGGGCCTTAGCCACATTTCCACTTAAGTCCTCTTTGCTTTTAACTGCCTCACTTGGGTCCAGTAGCTGCAATGGGCTCACTTTGATCTTGCCCTCTCTGTCCTCCTCCACCAGTATTCCTTGTGCTTCCACATTGGTTCTGTGCAGAAGCTGTAGCATGATCCTTTGCAAATGGCCTCCCACAATCTCTTCTTTCAGGATTTCTGGGGCACCTGGGCTACTGATCTGATACTTCACCATCTTCACGCTCTCCATATCATTGGCTTCAATGAGTATCCCACTGTGCTGAATAGCCTGGCAAGTACAGAGCATCTCCAAGGTTTCCTTCATGGTCCTTTCTTTCACTTCTGTTTCTACATGACCTTCAGAAGCACTCAGCTTATCCAAAGGTGTGCTCTCAAAGAGCCATGTTGTACTTTTTACATCTGCATGAGGGATAGCTTCTTGAGCCTCAGCACTGGCTGTCGCCTCTGTGTCCTTGAGGGTGTCCATAGGCTGGGTTTCAAACAACCAGGTGCAGCGTTTCACATCCCCTTTCTGGCTATCCTCTCTCTGCACTGTGCTCATAGAAGTGCTTCTGTCCGCATCCCCATGAAGGGAGTCCACAGGCTGGTTTTCAAAAAGCCAGGTGGATGTCCTCACATCACCCCGCTGGACATCACTGACACTGACCATCCGCACATATTTCTTTTGGCCCACCTTTTGGGACTCAAAGAGTTCCTTATTGGACTGAACATCTCCCTTCAGCACATCATCTACTGTTCTGGGCACAGACTTCCCTCCCCTGGAAAAGGAGTCCAGAGGCTCTGTCTCAAACCTCCAACGGGCAGCTTGGACATCCCCTTTCTTGATATCCTCTTGAGTGACAGCCCTAATCACAAACACCTCTTCTTCCTTCTTGATCTGGTCCAGAGGTTTAGTTTCGAACAACCATCGGGCACCTTTCACATCACCTTTCATGATTTCTTCTTTCTGCACTGAGGTGACCTCATGGTAACTCCCCTCTTTGTCCTGGATAGCATATAATGGCTGGCTTTCAAAAAGCATTGTGCAGGACTTGACATTGGCCTTGCTCATGGTGTCTTTCTGGATCTTTTGAATTTCTGTCTCATCCACCTTATCATGGATTTGGTCAAGTGAGTAGGTCTCAAATATGAACCTTTTGCCGCCAACATCTCCTCCCTTGATATCCTTCTCTGGAGGGATTTCCTGGATGCCCTCAGAACCATTCTTCAGGGAGTCCATGGGGCAGTTTTCAAAAAGCCAAGTGAACTTGTGCACAGCTCCAGCTTCAGTTTTCCCGTCATCCTTCACAACCACTGTTGGTTTAGTCGCTGTATCCAAGGGCTTAGCTTCAAAGAACTCCTTCACTCGGGACACTTCCCCAGACTGTATCTCCACGCGACTGCAGTACCACACAGTTTTCTTGAGGTCAGCTTTACTGGCCAAAGTGCTGCCTAATGGTTCAGTCTCAAACAGATGTCGGACAGTTTTGACATCAACTCCCTCTAAGTCATCCTGACTGTATGCTTTGCTGACTTGCAAATGCTGTTCCTCCTGGCCTTTCAGTGAGTCCAGTGGTTGGGTCTCAAACATCCATGTGTATGACTTCACATCAGCTTGTGGTACATATCCATCTTCTTCCTGCTTCTTTTCTGCCTTCTCATACAGCGTGTTTATGGGCTGAGTCTCAAAAAGCCATCTGCAGGTCTTCACATCTCCCCGTTGGGAGATCTCCCGCTTCACCAAAGCATGTTCCTCACCTTGCATGGCTTGTTGGTGAATTACATCCATAGGTTGAGTTTCAAAGAGCCATTTGGCTGTTCTGACATCACCAGCTACCACCTCTTCTTTTGTGATTCCACGTATTATGTCCACTTTCTTGATGCTTTCATCAAACTGGTCCAACGGTCTTGTTTCAAACATCCACTTGTAGTTCTTGACATCCCCACTGATGATTTGTTCTCTGCTCACAGAGGTGACTTCGTGGAAGTTACCAAGGCTGTCTTTGATGGCATACAGAGGTGTTGTCTCAAACAGGATTTGGTTGGCTTTGACATTTCCAGCAGGAATGTGCTCCTCTTCTTTGGTGACGGGCTCAGTATCAGCCTGCTTAATACTGTCTAGTGGAAGAGTTTCAAACAGGGTCTTGAAAGACTTCACATCCCCTTTTACCACCTCCTCTGCACTGGTGCCTGAAATTTCTTTTTCAGATGCCATAGAGATGCTGCTGAGTGGATGGCTCTCAAAGACATGTTTTCTTTGCTTCACATCTCCCTTCTCTTCTGCTGAAAGCTCTACTTTCTTTAAATGTCCCACCTCAAAATTATCTTTCAGACTTTCCATTGGCTGGGTCTCAAATAGCCAGAGTGTAGATTTCACATCACCTCCAATGACTTGTTCCTTGGCTTTGACACTCTCTGAAGCTTCTCCTTTCAGAGAATCAAGAGCCTGGGTCTCAAATAGCATTCGCTGCTTACTGACATCTGCCCCTGTGGTAAAATCCATTGAAGCCTTGAAATCCTGCTCTTCCACTGTAATTTCTCTGATGGCATCCAGAGGCTGAGTTTCAAATATCCACCTTGCTCCACTGACATCTGGCCTTCCTACTTCTTCCAGAGAAATACCACGAATTATTTGCACTTTGGAAGTATCTTTGTTGATGGTATCCAGTGGCTGAGTCTCAAATAGCCAGCGAGCGGTCCTGACTGCATTGCTCTGTATTTCTTCTCGGCAAACAGATTTGATCTCATGGATATTCCCAGTTTTGTCTCTGATGGCACAGAGTGGCTCTGTTTGGAAAAGCTTGATAGTCTTCTTGACATCACCTTTTAGCTCCTGGATTTCTGACTTGAGTTGTAAGATGCTCTTCTCCTCCACTGAACAACAGCGCCCTATAGCATCCAAGGACTGAGCTTCAAAGAGTTGTCTGGCACCTTTCACATCACCTCCCTGGACAGGCTCCTTGAGAACGGCTTCCTGCACTTCTGTTTCATCAGAGTACAGCTTATTTAAGGAGTCTAGAGGCTGGGTTTCAAACAGCCACCTGGCAGTGCGCACATCCCCTTTAGCATGGTCTGTTTCTGATACCTTGGCTGATGTTGACAGCCTGTCCCCATTGACTGACTGACTTTCGAACCTCAGGGAAGTACTTTTCACGTCCCCACCAGGAATGACCTCTTCTTCTGCCAGCTTCTTTGTGGCTTGACGGTCCCCAATAGAGTCAAGTGCCCAGTTCTCAAAGATCCAGCGCATGGACTGAACCTCCCCTGGAAGGACTTTGTCCAGGTTCACAGAGGCCTGTGCATTGGGATCTTCAGTATTAAGCATTTCTGCCAGGTCTTCAGTCACTGCTTCTTCCAAGTTCTTCCTGAGCTCAGGATGCATGTGTCTGTAGAGCCGCCTTAGCTCATTCACTTGGCGCTGCTGGTAGAACTTGGAGAAGGATTGCTTCGGAGGAGGTGCGGGGAGCGGGTTGGGATCCTGGCCTCCTGCAGCAGGACCGCTGACTTGGACCAAGCCAAGGGTAGGAGCAGGAGGTAAGTCCTCTTCCATTGTCTTGATGGCAACTGCAGATGATTTCCGAACCTCTGCCATCTTTAGGGAAACAGTTTTAAATGTCAGAATTGTCTCTTCACGCCAAGCCCAGCGGCCATTAATAGTGCAAACGGCAAATAAAAAAAGCCATCCAAAGAAAGGAAATCCATGCACCTACTGAGCTCCATACCTTTGGTTCAGTAGCACACAGCACTCCACAGCATCACACCACTGCACACGCTCCAGGCTTGGTGTTAGCTCTGACTCCACAGCAATGCGCTCTAAAGCAAGGTCTCTAATCCAGGCACGTATGGTGGCTACCCTGGAGTTCCTGGGCTTCCATCCAGCTACAGCGCAAGAGTGGTGTCCAATTTGGACTGTGACAGCAAGAGAAATGGACCACAAGAATAGCATAAAAGAAGGCTATTTTTGAATGACAAGCTGAGAGTTAACTTCTCCCTCCTGCTCCCATGTGTCTAGGGTAGTGTGGTGTCCTGAAGGAGTCAGGAAACCTGACTATGGACTGAGGAGAAGGCTAAAGAGCTATTTGCAAAGAGGTGTCAAGAAGAAAATGGCGAGAGGGAACCAAATAAATGTATGAACCTGAACTGATAAGGACAATCTTCAACTGCATAACTCTATATTGTTATTTTGCATGAGAATAGAGGCACTGTTATAGAATTGGAGACTGAAATACATATCAAGTGAAAGAGGATAAAAGAAAGACACCTAAGTATGATCTGCTTAGACCTATTCGATTTAGCATTTGGATAAGAATGAGTAACTCCTTGAAGACTTGGAATCCAATATATCACAGTTATGTCACAGCAGAGTGTGTTTGCCCTAACTCACATTCTTTTAAGCCTTCCTTTCAGCTGTTTTTCTTTGTAAATTCTCTACTTTTGGCTGTTTGGCCTATGAAATAGTTCAGTTTATAAGAAGCTGGATTAGCAGGCCAGATTGTGACATGCTCTGTTAGGAGAAGAAAACAAGACCAAAAGGTCAGTAGAAGTGTGATCTGCCCAGGCTCACTCATACTGAATTCAGCCTTTAGTTTCTCAGTAATGTTGATAAGGAAGTGAAAAGGGATGGACTGTGGCTGTTTAACATACTTTTGGGACTCACTTTTGGAAATTTTTCTGCTTAGTTTGGGAAATTGGACCACTGAATAGCCAATAGCTAAACTGAATACCTATGAGCTCTACTGAACTGGCATTTTCCCAAACGGAAGGTAATTAAGGCCTATAATCATTATCTAAGACAGACTGTAATTCTGGTAACATTTCTTGCAGAAAAGGACCTGCTGACCCTTTGCATGCCTTCAGAGTCATGCCTGTAGAGTCACACCCAGCACATTATTAGTTGTTGCTCAAAGCAATGGTGCACAATGTTATTTCACTCTGTTACATACAAATCGTTCCTTCTAAAAATAGATATTGAACTTCAGTAAAAGAAAAAAAATTCTCCAGAATACCAAGATCAGCATATTTTGCGGCAAATGTAAAATGCAAAGCTTTCATTTGAGCCAAAATACTTTGAATGCATTTTTATTTTTTTAAAATAAGCTTATTCTGAGTCTGTAAAGAATATCTAAATACCGGGCAGGGCAACTGAGCAGCTGATGATAGCTAAATTCAGTATGAAAGTTGCTGTCTTGTGTGGGCATTTAAATCACACTCCACTACAGTCCACAAATATTTGGTTAGATAACAGTGCATAGCTTTAACATTTCTTACCTTGCCTGTTTTTTGGCTGTTGGGAGAGAGAATGGAGCTGTCCTTTACAGTGCTCTGCAACAAAACAGAGAGAAATGACATCAAAGTGCATAGGCAGACACATCTGGTATTTGCATACATAGGTGTCTACAATACACAGCTGAAAACCATTATGGTTCACTGACAGTTCTGTTCAGTTGGGAAAAACAATCTTCTTGCAGGTTAACCAATTTTTTTTTCCAAACGTCTCAGTCAATGAAAAAACATTTTTTTAGGACTGGGGAAAAAAAAAAGCCTGAATTCTCTTAAGTATGACTAGGCTTATATTTTCAATGTAATCAACTTAAAGTTGATTTGCATTTATGACTGTATTATGAATTTTAAAAGCTGTCCTCAATGGCAAATTGTTTTAAAGATTTTTTTTTCCCTTAAGTTCCCATTTTTCTTTCCCAGACAGAACAACTCACTGCAATGCAGATTAATTAAAAAGTTTTGACCCACACAGATTATGGTGAAGAAACTTTTCTCTGGAAATAGTATGGCCCATTGTGCATTGCTGAGCAGAAGTGCACTGGTCTTTCCCAGTCTGGAGATGAAACAAGCCCAGTGTGGGTATGGACCATGAGGCAGAAGAGCAGCTTTTAATGGTGTCTGACCCTGCTCTGCTCACATGTGCAGTACTGTGGCGCCAACCAGTCACTGAATGAAAAGATGGACGCGTGCAAAATCACAGCAGTCATCCCCTTGCAGCCAGAAGGTGGTTTATCTCCCATAATCTGATTAGGGCCCTGGGCCAAGAGGCACTTGGCAGCTTCATCTCATGATGAAAACAAAGGACGTCACAGGTCCTTGCTCAGCCAAGATCTAATCTCTTTCCAGCCTCCTGTTTTGGATCCACCAACTCTGTTTTTCCATCTCTGACCATAAGGTCCTCTTCCTTCTTTGAAGTAGGGCTTGCATTGCCTGCAGATCAGAGCACACGGGGCAGGAGGTTGCTTTACTCATTGCTTGGGCATGGGATTTAGTGGGAGGGGAGCACAGCAGCCAGTGTATATCACTGCCTTGGGTCTGTGAAGAGAATATGAAATCACCCATGGGGCAGGGGATGTGAGAGTAGAGGGAAGAACAGTGGGAGCGTGCAGAATAAGATCTATGTCAGAGTATGATGGATGCAGGCATGGGTTTGAAGGGAGGCAGCATGGAGATGAGTGCACCACTGAGTGTTCTGCATGGATGCTTGGGGCATGAAAAGCGTGGGTACTTACGGGTCGCCTTGGGGTGTTAGTAGGAGAAGCAGCAGCAGATGCCTGGGAGAGATAGAGAGCTGAGAGCTCCTTCACGGAGGGCGCAGACCTCCCTTGGCCTTGGTGCAGTGTCTGGTCCGAGACGCCTAAAGACGGCCACCTCCTCTCGTCTGAAACAGAGGCAGGCATGCACAGTGAGATACGTGATGGGGACCTCGAGCACCAGCAAGGCACAGCACTTACAGAGGGCTCTGCAAGGCACCTTCACTGTTTGCATACCTACTTTTGCCTTTTTTTTTCCCTTCATTATTCTGCTAGATGTCAACAGGATGCATTCGCAGGATGCAGAATATAGACATATTTGTGTCTATATGGAATGTCTTAGCCCCTCTGGTTAGCCAGAGTTGTCATTTCTCTGTTACTGCTATAAAAAAAGCGAGAAGTTTCTCCATTCATCTGCAGACTTGCATTGCTGCAGGCGGACTTAGTGTGGCATTTGCGATGCTTTCTGCTTGGACAATAGCCTCTCTGCTCACAAATCCAGCTTTTGCACAGACACGGATGGGCTGATGTACTTTTTAAACACAGGCACATTGAAAGCACTGCAATAATCATAATGTTTTCTGCCTTCAAAACTCAGCTCCCTCCAAATCTTGAGATTTTATAAACAACGAACTTATGATTCTTCTCTTCTTTTTCTGGATTTTGAGCCACAAAGTCCAGACTTTCAAGCTTTGCCCTGACATGACATGGAAATTTATTTCATCTCTATTTTAAAATGACAGCTAATGGCATCTAATAACAGGACTCCAGGAGCTGATGCTTCAGGTGCAACCCTGGTTCCCTTGGGGACTTAGGATAAGCTTCCTAGCTAATGCCACCAACAAAAAACCATAGAGATAAGAGCAGAGGGAGTTCCGTGAGAGCCTCAGAAACTGGATAGCATTTTGCTGAAAGGTGACAAATCCCATGTGTCCATTATCCCAAATCTCTCTTTCTCTTAGTACCAGTTGCTTCTACAGATGCCCAGATTTTTTGACTCCTAATTGAGGTCAGATACCTGGGGATGCAGCTGGAAGCAGCATGGATTTAAATGCCCAAGTCACTAGGACATAAGGAGAGCAAAAATAAGAAGAGATTTCCTTAATGCTTGTTTTCTTTAAGTTGACAGGTAAGGATGAGATTTCTCTCCCTGCTTTCATTTTGGCTTGTTTTCTTTAAGTTGACAGGTAAGGATGAGATTTCTCTCCCTGCTTTTGGGATGTAAATCACCCTCTTGTTACATCAGTTTTTCCCAGGCTGCCCAGGAGAGTGCAGGCTTTGATCAAATGCCTGACTTTGATCTGAATGACACCCTGGAAATTGGGAAAAAACAGGCAAATCATCACCAAGGCACCCCAATCACAGGATTCAGTGCTGATACCTGCTAACACCAACCCACTACATGCTGGAGAAGGCTTTTTGGAGGCTTGTAGCCCACTTCTGAAGAGCTTCCTCTGTTGCAGAGAGACAAGAGGGTGGATGTGAGCCACCCTGTAAAAAGGGAAGATGAACTTCTTGGCAATGAAGCTCCTTCTCCAGGAGCTGGGCTGGTGGCACGTAATGGTCCTCTCCAGCCAAAAAGCAGTAATGCAACTATATGGAGATCTGCAGTCAACAAAGTGAAAACCAGCGCATCATCAGAGCTGACGATTCCTTCACCCTATAGCTCAAGGCCACAGGACTTCTGTTTTAATGAGGATTATAATTAGAAACAAGGGGTTTTGCTGAAGCTTCCCCCTTATCATTGACTTTTTTTTTTTTGAAATTTTTCCTTTTTAACATTTTTTTTGCAGCACGTGGGTTGTACAAAGCCATGTGCTTGCTTATCATTTCTCACAGAATTACCCGCCACAGATAGAGGCTGCTGGAGCCAGCCAGATGAGGGGCTGCTCCAGTGCTCACAGAAAGCCTGATCCTGTCACTCGGCTCCGAGGGGCTAATTACAGATAAGAGCAAAACAACAACAGTTGGCTCTGCTAATGAGAAAGCCGGGCTGTGTCATGCTTGCAGCCAAGAGCACCTGAAACACCTCAAGAGCTACCAGTACCTCTGCAAAGGCAGTGCCAGGAGGGAGACGGGGCAGGCAGGGGACTTCCCGGGATGAGGATGGAGAAGCAAAACCAAAGAGCATTTTGCAAATTAGATTAAGGATGTTCATCTGATGAGACCCAGTTTGAAACACTTTTCTACCCAGATGATATGAAAGGGTCTGCTGGGATGTTTGGTCCTTTCTACACACTGAGTGATGCATCCATCAAAGAGCAGTATAGTGCCCCAGGGAGCTCAAAACCCAATGCTCCAGCAATTAGAACATCCTCATAAACAAAAAAAAAAGGAAGAAAACAGTCCCTCAATGCTCCCTCCTCCTGTCTCATACAGAGGCAGGCACCAGGGGCTGATGTGCTTTTGTCCCAGGGATGAATATGAGAGAAGATCCAATACTAATGCTGGGCTTCATCATGGAAACTGCCATTTGAGCCAGGATCCAGTGCCAGACCAACCCATGCATTTCATGCAAAGGGCTTCAAATTTAGGCCTGTCTGTTGAAGCAGCTGTTGGTGTTTCTTTAGTTGGTGCCTCGTCTCATGCATTGCAGCTCAGGGTCAGTTTACAGCCTCTCTGCTGCAGTGGCTGTGCCTGGCTGAGCAGGGAGGGCTGGGATTTGTGGGGATCCTTTCTTGGGGAAAGAGGGTGCAAAGTGATGCCCAAAAAGAGGGAAAAGGAAGGAAAAAGGAAGGAAACCCCAAAGCACTCTTGGAGCAGGAACAAATTTGCAGTCTCCTTACAGTGAGCAGAAATGTCCTGATTTTCTAGCACTGTGCATCTCCTCTGCAGAGTTTGAGGTCTTCCTGTACACTGGAATAAGCAATCCCTTAAGTATTCCCATTGTTTATGCCAAGATTATTTCTTCAGAGATTTCACTTACTGAACTGTAGGACTCTTTGGAAAAACCCGAGCTTAAAAATCTGCATAACACCGAATCGAGAAACTCACAGTGGTGGAAAATCATTCATCATACTCATTTGTATTCACTAATCATTCCTGACAGGGGAGGAAGAAGGGCGAATTGAAGGGAATATGGGGGAAGAGACTCTTAAATATTCATCTAAAAATGCAGTCACTTCCTCTGCTGCTATTGCCCATAAATCACTCAACCGCTCGGTCTCCCGCTGAAGATAATGTTACAGGTCTCTTTCTCTTGAACCGTAACTGTTTTACATCCAACAACAAAATCCTACCAAGCAGGAGACAAATCACTAGCAAAATTCCTCCCTGCTCCTTCCCCCAAGAAAACCCCATCTCTCCTGTAACAGGCATCTCCATCTCACTTTGCTTTCTACTTAATGCTCTATATCCCACTGCGGAACAATATTACCCACCTGTTGGTGTCCACCACTTCTGCTGCTGGCCCTCTTTTGTAGACTGGCTCCCACCGCTGAGCCCAGTGAGCTGCCGAGCGACTGAGTCACCTATTAAAAAAGGAAGCTGCAAGGTCAGCACCGAGCTCCCCGTGCCGCCCGGCCAACCACATGTCATCGGCTTTGCTCCCAAAATCAGCCGTCCTGAGCAAACACAGCTGCTGAGCAAAGCCCTTTGTGCCGCCAGCCTGCGGAAAGGGGGGACGTGTGGTGGGGACTGGGAGCGCGTGGGACTGCACCAGCGAGGGGGAAAGGAAAAATCCATCTTCCTTGTTCGAAAAAATAAGGAAAAAACCCATCACAACCATCCAGGCTGTGCCAGGGCCTTGCCTGCATTGTGCTGCAGGACATAGATGGTTTCAATG